TAAAGAATTTGTCCTGCTTCATTCTGTTACATTTTCTTGTATTTTTTAAACAAAACTCAATTTATCAATTCGAGAGAGGGTGGAACATAAAAGTAAAGGATGTTGCCATAAAAGTTGGAAATATATCCTCTATAACAGCTTCTGGGGCTGATCTGCATAGCAAACTCTTGGTTGTTTATTCAGCGTGAAAGCTAATAAATCTATTTGTGAGAACTCCTAAAAGGCAATCATTTCCAGAAAGAGCAAATTCTGGCAAAAGCTATTGTTTCAGCAAATCCAAATGACAAGTGCTTTAATATGACAGCATTTACAGTTCTGAGGGCACAGTACATTTTGGAATCATAAAAGTAGCAACACATTCTGTGTGGCAAAACATACTGTTGTTTAAATCTGTCTTACTGCAATGAGCTGCTAATGGATATGTACAATTTATTAAGAGGCGGAAGAATGACAAATTATAAACCTACACAGATCTAGTCATTTTGCAAGAAAATCTTTATTTCCTTTATTTTTAGCTTTTCATCCATCTGTTTTAGTTAAAACATACTCTCCAAATTCAGATGGAAAGTCTATCTCTGGAGATCCTTCTCTCACTGTGTTTCTGCTTTTCTTTATGCGGCATGCATTAGATTTCCCAATAAAAATAAACTTTTACTTTATTGATAGCAGTAAACAAAATTTAGTTATTTTTACATTCATGAATTAAAATACAATTTTTTTTATTTTTAATATGTGTAAAAAGGAATGATTTGTGATGCCTTGGAAGGTGAAATTCAGTTTTCATTTAGTTTACCTCTTCTGTTTCTTTCTCGCTCTCTCGTTTTCTTTTATTCTCTCTTTCTTTTTTTTTTTTTTTTTTATAATCGCTGGAATACAGTGCACTGAACATTGTGGAAAATGAAAAGATGATAGTCTTTGCCCTGAAGCTTACAATCTGAGAATAAAAACTTGAGACAGGAAGAGTTAAAATAGCAAAGCTGTAGCAAAGTAAAGTAAACATTGTTAGAGGTAAGCAATAAAAAGGAAAAACAGTATCCTGTAAACTCGGAAGCAGAGACAAAAAAAATTGTGTTTATATAAGAACTGCCAATCTCTCAAACTATATGCTCCTAGGTGACTACTAAAAATCATAATGGGCTTATATATATATATATATATATATATATATATATATATATTTTTTTTTTTTTTTTTAGAGATATTTTTTTTCCTGTACTCTGATTCCTGCCTCAATCCATACTGAATAGCATTGCCGGGAAAACACGCTGAATTTCTAAAGGCATTTCCTCACGCACTGTAATCTGCCCCAGTGTTTTCTATCACATTTAATCTAACCATGTCAGCTAGTCTTTTTTCTTTTCTTTTCTTTTTTATTTTTTTGGAGACAGAGTCTTATTGTATAGCCCAGGCTGCAGTGCAATGGTGAGATCTCGGCTCACTGCACCCTCCACCTCTTGGGTCCCAGTTCAAGCAATTCTCCTTCCTCAGCCTCCCGAGTAGCTGGGATTACAGGCACATGTCACCACGCACAGCTAATATTTGTATTTTTAGTAGAGACGGGGTTTCACCTTATTGACCAGGCTGGGCTTGAACTCCTGATCTCATGATCGACCTGCCTCAGCCTCCCAAAGGGCTGGGACTACAGGTGTGAGCCACCATGCCTGGCCTAATCTTTCAAAGTTCTCCCTGCTATAGACCCACCTTCCTAATAGGTCCACCCTTCCTAGTCAATATTCAGACCAGATTCCTTGTGACCCACTACTTGATTGAAGTACTTGGTTCTGTGCTCTACCTGTTCAAATCCCAATGTCACTGAAGTCCAGGTTAACATTCACCTCCTCCACCATTCTAATACTTGGTTATTTTATATCTCCCAATGACTAAATTACACAAAGGTTTGCTTTGTAGACTTTCAGTCACTCTGTGTTTCTCCCTCAACTAGAAAACGTGCTGCTTGAGGAAATCTATGATGTAATACTCCCATGTCTTTCAAAATGCCCAGAATAGAACGTGTGTGCTATCCACTCAAAACCATTCCTGTGGGAGCTAATTAGAAATGAACATGACTGTGTTTCTTAGATAAGTTCTTCATTAACAAGTGTACAAATATAAATGATGAGTTAAGGGAAATGTGACTTAATGCACTTTAAACCTTTAATGTTTATTCCTAGAAAAAGTGTTTGGAATATAACATTTGACTCTTGGATATGTGTCCATAATCATACATTTTTTTCTAATTTTCCTCCACTCACTTCCATCCTAATTAATGTGAAGGGGAGGAAAGGTTTTCTGTTATAATTTCTGCTTGACATAATACAAGTGAGAATAGTGTATAGTCTCTTGAATATACACAAATATACATACATATATTGAATTCAGCTTGCCTATTTTAAATTATTAATGGGTTACACTGCTTATAACTATCGTATCATTTTATCACACTTATCAAATGTTTTTCTTTGTAAATAACTCATATATAGGATATACAGGCACATAATCATATTTATTTTCTTTTTTAACTTTTATTTTAGGTTCGTGGGTACCTGTGAAGGTTTGCTATTTAGGTAAACTCGTGTCACAGGGATTTGTTGTAGAGATTACTTTGTCACCTGGGTATTAGGCCTACTACCTGATAATTATGTTTCCTGATCCACTCCCTCCTCCCATACTCCACCTTCAAGTACACCTCAGTGTCTTTTGTTCCCTCCTTTGAATTCATGAGTTCTCATCATTCAGCTCCCATTTGTAAGTGAGAACATGTGGTACTTAGATTTCTGTTCCTACGTTAGTATGCTAAGGTTAATGGCCTCCAGTTCCATCCATGTTCCCATAAAAATATCTTATTTACTTTATGGCTGCATAGCATTCCATGGTGTATATGTACCATATTTTCTTTATCCGATCTGTCATTGATGGGCATTTAAGTTGATTCCATGTCTTTGCAATAGTGAAGAATGCTGCAGTGAACACTCACATGCATGTGTCTTTATGGTGGAATGAATTCTATTCCTCTGGTTATATACCCAGAACTGGAATTTCTGGGTAAAGTGGTAGTTCTACTTTTAGCTCTTGGAAGAATTGCCATACTGCTTTCCACAATGCTCGAACTAAATTTACCCTCCCACCAACAATGTATAAATGTTCCCTTTTCTTCATAACTTTGCCAACACCTGTTATCTTTTGACTTTTTATTAATAGCCATTCTGACTGGCATGAAATAGTTTCTCATTGTGGTTTTGATTTGCATGTCTCTAGAGTTCAGTGATATTGATTTTTTTTCATACTTATATTGGCTGCATGTATGTCTTCTTTTGAAAAGTGTCTGTTCATGCCTTTTTCTCTCTTTTTAATAAAGTTGTTTTTCTTTTGTGAATTTGTTTAAATTCCTTAAAAACCCTGGATATTAGATGCATAGTTTTATGCATCTAAACCTAGTCAGATGCATTGTTTGTAAAATATGTTCTCTAATTATGTAGGTTGTCTTTTGACTCTGTTGATAGTTTCATTTGCTTCACAGAAGCTCTTAAGTTTAATTAGACCCATATGTCAAATTTTGCTTTTGTTACAATTGCTTTTGGTGTCTTTGTTATGAAATCTTTGCCTGTTCCTATTTCCAGGATTGTATTACCTAGGCTGTCTTTCAAGATTTTTATAGTTTCGGGCTTTACATTTATGTCTTCAATCCATCATGAGTTGATTTTTGTATATGGTGTAAAGAAGGAATCCAGCTTCAATTTTCTGCTTATGGCTACCCAGTTATCCCTGCACAATTTATCAAATAAAGGAGTCCTTTGCCCATCACTTGTTTTGTCATCTTTGTTGAGGATCAGATGGTAACAAGTGTGTAGCCTTATTTCTAGACTCTCTATTTTGTTCCATTTGTCTATGTTCCTGTTTTTGAACCAGTACCATGCTGTTTTTATCATTGTAGCCCTGTAGTATAGTTTGAAGTCAGTTTTGTGATTTTCGTTTAGGGTTGCCTTGGCTATTTGATTTCTTTTTGAATTCCATATGAATTTTTAAATAGTTTTTGTTTGTTTGTTTGTTTGTTTGTTTAGTCCTGTGAAGAATACTGTTGGTAGCTTGATAGGAAAAGAAATATAAATTACTTTGGGAAGTATGGCCATTTTAACAATATTGATTCTTCCTATCTATGAGAATGGGATGTTTTCCATTTGTGTCTTTTCTGTTTTCTCTGAGCTGTATTTTGCAATTCTTCTGGTAGAGAACTTTTACATCCCTGGTTTGGTGTATTCATAGGTATTTTATTATTTTGTGGCAATTATGAATGAGATTGCCTTCCTGATTTGGCTCTCAGCTTGACTGTTGTTAGTAAATAAGAGTGTTAATGATTTTTGTAAGTTTATTTTGTATCTGATATTTTGCTGAAGTTGTTTTTCAGCTTAAAGACCTTTTGGGCTGATACTATGCAGTTTTCTAGATACAGAATCATGTTGTCTGCAAACAAGGATAGTTTGACACCCTCTCTTCCTATATGGATGCCATTTATTTCTCTCTCATCTGATTGCTCTGGCTAGGACTTCCAGTACTACATTGAATAGGAAGATGAGTGGGCATCCTTGTCTTGTGCCAGTTTTCAAGGAGAATGCTTCCAGCTTTTGCCCATTCAGTATGATGTTCACTTTGGATTTGTCATAGATGGCTCTCATCATTTTGAGGTATATTCCTTTAATACCTATTTTATTGAGAGTTTTTGACATGAGGGGTTATTGAAGTTTTTCTAAAGCAATTTTCTGCCTCTACTGAGATAATCATGTGCTTTATGTCTTCAGTTTCATTTATTTGATGAATTGCCTTTATTGATTTGCACATGTTGAACCAAACTTGTATACTGGGGATGAAGCCTATTTATCATGATGGATTAGCTTTTGGATTAGCTGCTGGATTCAGTTTGCAAGTATTATGTTGAGATTTTTTTCATTGATGTTCATCCAAGATATATGTCTGAAGTTTTCTTTTTGTTGTGTCTCTGCCAGATTTTAGTATCAGGAGTTGAGGAGGAGTCTGGCCTTCTCAATTTTTTGAAATAGTTTTAGTAGGAAAATTACCAGCTCAATTTTATACATCTAGCAGAATTTGGCTGTGAATCTATCAGGTCATGGAATTTTTTGTTGGTGGTGGTAGTGGTAGGATATTCATTACTAATTTAATTTTTAAGCTTGCTATTGATACATTCAGGGAATCAATTTCTTCCTGCCTCATTCCTGGGAAAATTTGTATGTCCAGGAGTGTATTCATATCTTTCAAATTTTCTAGTTTGTGTGCCTAGAGATATTTGTAGTAGTTTCTGACGTTTATTTTTATTTTAGTGGTAACATCACCTTTGACATTTCTAATTGTATTTACCTGCATATTCTATATTTTCTTTTTTATTAGTGTAGCTAGCAGCCTATCTATCTTTCTTTTTCAAGAAAAACCAACTCTTGGATTCATTGATTTTTTTTAATTTTAGTTTGTGTGTATGTGTCTAAATTTCCTTCAGTTCTCCTCTCATTTTGGTTATTTCTTGTCTTCTGATAGCTCTGGAGTTGATTTTTCTTGCTTCTCTAATTCTTTAAGTTTTGATGTTAATTTTAGATCTTTCTGACTTTTTGATGTGGGCATTTAATGCTATGAATTTCCCTCTTAACAATACCTTAGCTTTGTCTCAGAGATTCTGGTATGTTGTATTTTCTCATTAGTTTCAAAGAACTTCTTGATTTTTTCTTTAATTTCATTATTTACCCAAAATAATTCATGTTTTTAAATTTCCATATAATTGTGTGGTTTGGGGCAATTTTCTTAATCTTCACTTCTCTTTTTATTGCAGTATAGCTTGACTGTGTTTGTTGTAATTTTAGTTTTTTTGCATTGGCTGAGGATTGTTTTATGTTCAATTATGTGGTCAGTTTTAGAGTATGTGACATGTGGTGAAGAGAAGAATGAATATTCTGTTGTTTGGGGTGGAAAGTTCTGTAGAGGTCAATCAGCTCCATTTGGTTCATTGTTAAGTTCAATTGCTAAATATCTTTGATAATCTGTTTAATACTGTCAGTAGAGTATTGAAGTCTCCCACTATTATTGTGTGGGAGTCTATGTCTCTTTGTAGATCTCTGATAACTTGCTTTAAGAATTTCAATGCTGCTATGTTGGGTACATATATATTTCGGGTAGTTAGGTCTTCTTGTTTAACTGAATCCTTTACTATTATGTATTGCCCTTCTTTGTCTTTTTTGATCTTTGCTAATTTAAACTTTGTTTTGTCTGAAATTAGGATTGCAGCCCTTGCTTTTTATTTGTTTGCCATTTTATTGTTAGATTTTTCTCTAGCCCTTTATTTTGAGCCTGTTGGTGTCATGTTAGATAGGTCTCTTGAAGATAGCATACCACTGGGTCTTGCTTTCTTTTCATTTTTCTTTCTTTCTTTATTTTATTTATTTATTTATTTATTTATTTTATTCAGCTTGCCACTCTATGCCTTTTAAGTGGGGGCATTTGAGCCATTTATGTTGAAGGTTAGTATCATATGCATGGATTTGATCCTGTCATTGTGTTGTTAGCTGGTTTTTACACTGGCTTGTTTGTGTGGTTGCTTTATAGTGTCACTAGTCTGTGTATTTAAATGTGTTTTTGTATTAGCTGGTAGCAATCTTTTCTCTTCGTATTTATTCTTTCTTTCAAAATATCTTGTAAGGTGGGTCTGGTGGTAATGCGCTCCCTGAAAATTTACTTATCTGAAGATAATCTTATTACTCCTTCATTTAGGAAGCTTAGTTTGGCTGTATATGAAATTTTTGGTGGAATAATCTTTTCTTTAAGAATATTAAATGTAGGTCCCCAATCACTCAGCTTGTTGGGGTTTAGCTGAGAGGTACGCTGTTAGCATAATGGGTTTCCCTTTGAGGGTGACCTGCCTTTTCTCTAGCTGCCTTTAGCATTTTTCCTTTCATTTTGACCTTGGAAAATCTGATAATTATGTCCTGGATGTGATCTTCTTGTGTATAATCTTGTAGTAATTCTCTATATTTCCTGAATTTGACTGCCAGCCTCTCTAGAAAAGTTAGGGAAGTTTTCACGAATGATATCTTGAAATATGTTTTCTAAGTTGTTTGCTTTTTTCCCCTCCTTTTCAGGGATGCCAGTGATTCACAGTTTTGGCCCCTATATAATCACACACTTCTCAGAGGTTTTGTTCATTCCTTTTAATGCTTTTTTATTTATTTTTGTCTGACTGTTTTATTTCAGAGAGCCAGTCTTCAAGTTCTAAGATTATTTCCTTCACTTGGTCTATTCTGCTATTAAGACTTGTGATTGTGTTGTGAAATTCTTGTGTCATTTAGCTCTGTCAGACTCATTTGGCTCTTTTCTATTCTGGCTATTTCATCCATCAGCTTCTGTATTGTTTTATTGTGATTCTTATTTTCTTTTGATTGGGTTTCACCATTCTCCCGAATCTCAATGATCTTCATTTCTATCCATATTCTGAGTTTCATTCCTGTAATTTCAATCAGCTCGGTCCACTTAAGAATTCTTGTCAACAAACTGGTGTGGTTATTTGGAGGACATACGATACAGGCCAGTTGAGTTACTGGAGTTCTTGTGTGGGTTCTTACTCATCCCTGCATGTGAGTGTCCCATTAGCTGCAGTGTAGATTGAGTACAGTCAATAGACTTATTTTCTGGATATTTTCACAGGGCCAAAGCTTTGTGCAGGGTATTTATTTAAAGCTGACCTCTTTGACTTTAGAGCGGATATGTTAGTGACATATTTCTGGTGTCAAATCTTCGGGGTATGATCCAGTAGGTGGCATGTAGGTATATTGGTTAGTTGGTAGACACTTGCTTAGTTGTGTGGCTCCCTTATGTTTCCTCACAGTTTCAATTGTGTTCCCTCTCAATGCTCTGAAATTGTGGGTCCCTCACTCCCTTGAATTCTGGCTATAGATGGCAACTTGGCACTACTGGGCTGCTCACTACAGCTCTGGGATGTTCTCAGGGTTTATGTTCTTCTCCAACTTGGAGGCAGCAGAGTGAGGGATCTTAGCAGTGGTGTGGCCAAGGATTTTTTCCTTGTCTCCTGGGGGCTCCACCCCAGAGAGATGCAGGCCAGCAATTGCTCAGTGTAATCAGCACAGAACAAAGGGTCTCTGCTGTGGACCTAAGCTGCAGGTTCCTTGTCTGGTGACAAAGGTTGGTGGATAGATGGAAGCCCTAGAGCTAATTTTCTTGGGTTGTCTGAAGCTTGGTGTGGATAAGGCACTTAGGGTCCTTGCTCTTTTGTTAGTCTGGGGCTAGCAAAGGCAGTTCCACTGCAGAGGCAGTGGCAGAGAGACTTTTAGTTGACCCTGGAGATTTTTTTAATTGAGTTACAGAGCTGCTATTGGCTTTATAGCTCTGCTGGAAGGTGGCTGGAAGTCCAGGCCTAGAGGACCTGACTGGTGAAGAGATACGAGAATGGGCCCCCATGTAACAGTTGGGCCACTTTTCCATAGGGCTGCTGTGGTATGCTGGGGGTCTGCTCCAGTCCCTAGTCACCTTGGATTTTTGAGTACATGGAAGTATCAACAGTGAAGGCTGTGAAAAGATGGCAGCTTGCCCCTCAGTCATATTTATTTCCTATGAGCTTAAATTATTTCAGGTATTATTTGCTTTGGTTTTGGCTTAAATTCGGTAATATTGGCTGGGTGTGATGGCTCACACCTGTAATCCCAGCAGTTTGAGAGGCTGAGATGGGTGGATCATGAAGTCAGGAATTTGAGACCAGTCTGACCAACATGGTGAAACTCCATCTGTACTAAAAATTCAAAAATTAGCTAGGCATGGTGGCACATGCCTGTAATCCCAGTTACTCAGGAGCTGAGGCAGGAGTACTGCTTGAACCCGGAAGATGGAGTTTGCAGTCAGCTGAGGTAGTGCCACTGCACTACAGCCTGGGTGACAGAGCAAGACTCCATCTCAAAAAAGCCCCCAAATCAGTAATATTACTAGGTAAATAATACAACACAAATTAGTGAAAGATTTACTGAAATAATTTATACTACTATAGTCAGTGTTGTTACACATATTAATAGCATTTTTATAATATTCCAAGGAAATAGTCAATTTTCCTAGGTATATCCTAAGTAGAAAATGTAAAATGAAATGAGATTCAAATTCTGATCACTCTGCCTCTGATGCCTGTTTTTTCCACTTTCCCATATTTTTCTGTTTTCACGTGCTGAAAGTGGTAAAGTGACAGTAAAGAATATCACAAATACTGAGGAAGTCCTTATATACAAAATTACTCATAAGCATTTTTTAGGTAAGGCTTTTTTTTAACAGTGTATCAATGTTAAATAGTGAATATCATTATTTACCTGTCTCTGACTCATAGAAAGTGTGTATATTGGTGTATGTGTGTGTGTGTGTGTGTGTGTGTGTGTGGTGTGTGTGTGTGTGTGTGTGTGTGGTGTGTGTGTAATTACTATCTGAAATATATTTCTACAATAATTCTCACATTTCACATAAGTACAGTTCAAACAATTACCTGTATTTCATTCAACTTTTCTATTACTGTCCTCACAGACACTCTAATCTGAACCCAGCTCAAATTTCTTGCAGTTTTAAAAATATAACCCGATCTTTTTCATCAATCTCTTCACCTCTACTCCTCTCGGTGCCTGAGATTCTTTCCATTTTCCTCTTAATTGCTAGCTTCAAACTCAAGGGTTGTTTTCTATTTGAGGCTGTCATGAGATGTTTCTTTTCTCAATTTAGATTCCATTTCCTTCTCTTGGCATTCAGGAATCGCCAAGTATTCTCTTTCTCTGCACTTCACAGGCTATTACGTGGGCCATACAAGTGTGGTCTTAGTCATCCTAGCGAGCCAAACATCAAAGGCAGTGGTTGAGCAACAATGGGTGCTCAATAAAATATTACTGCTATTGTTGGCGATACATCATGTTGAATTTTTGATAAAGGATGGAGTTTAAAAGTTTCAGAAGCCTCAATTTTCAGAAATAGGGAGTTTAGGGACTGTCGTTTGAAATACTTATAATAGAAATTTGTGGGAGTATAGGCACTTGTAGTTTCCCTAGGCTGATATCCTCAAAAAAAGAGTGCTTTAGGAAATAATAGATGAAAAGCCCAGAAGGTAAGGTATAGTCTTTATTGTGCTTGTGCTGTTTCACTCCTAAGTAGACAGTTCTAAAACACATAGCATCCTGCATGTGTATATGGGCAATTGCAACACTTATGGAATACTTTTATGATTTTTGTGCCTAATTTCATAGTTATAATGATAAATAATGTAAAGCATAAGTTAATATCATTATGAAACTTACAGATTGAGAGGTCAGGGCCTAGAAAAATATTTCTTGAATCTAATTACTTTGTTAAATAAGGAAATATTAATTCAATACAACAGACTTCCATAACCTTAATAACAGGAACAAGATTTTTCAACATTCTCTTTTCTATCCACTATATTGCTTCTCTGCTCATTCAGCTGTGGATTTAGTTTAAAAAGCATTAAAAAGTCATTGTCTATACTTAGGTTCAACCCCATTGTCTACACTCAGGTTCAACCCACATCTCAACTAATGTTTCAAAACCACATTGCTTTCTGGCCGGGCACGGTGGCTCATGCCTGTGATCCCAGCACTTTGGGAGTCGCAGGCATGCTGGTCAGGAGTTTGAGATCAGCCTGCCAAACATGGTAAAACCCTGTCTCTACTAAAAACACAAAAATTAGCAGGGCATGGGGCGCACACCTGTAATCTCAGCTACTTGGGAGGCTGAGGCAGGAGAATCACTTGAACCGGGGAGGCAGAGGTTGCTGTGAGCCAAGGTCACCCCGTTCCACTCCAGCCTGGGGGACAGAGTGAGGCTCCATTTGAAATAATAATAATAATAATATTTTATGTATTCTATAAATAAATGGTTCCTAGTTGGGAAGTGGAGTTAGTTTTGAGTTCATATGTGTTCATTGCAATCAGTCCATACTGTTTTTTAAACATTATTTCATCTATCAATTGCCAACTTTCCCCTTTAGGTTACATTCTATTCATTGTATCAGTGTATCTTATAGACAGTATTTATATATGGCTAATTGATTTTTATTTTATACTTATTCAAAATGTTATTAAGATCTTACTCAAAATTACCTTTTCTATGCATAAGGCTTACGTGAAACCAAGATCGTCTTCCTGATCCTCACAATTTGTTAATTATTTCAGTTGCTACTGAGGTCGGGTTCCGGGGCATGGGGGAGGCTCTGCTCCCCTGCTAGGATGTGTTCTTCCAGGCATTGGTCCCTCACTCACCCAAGAGTTGGCGGGAGGACCCCACAGGGCACAGTGGCTCATTTAAATAAATGTCAGTCCCCAAAGAGTTTTTGTAGAAAGTGATTTATTTAGGCACAGAGAGTAAAAGGAGAGAGAAATAGATATATCTATAGAGAGAGCAGCTCCCATGAGGTCATGAAAGAAGATCCAGAAATGGAGTCTACCTGGATGTGTGAGAAGCGGACTTTTAACCTGTTAGATATTCCTGCCCATTTAACTTTTCTGGCCTATGAAAGGTGTTCCTTTAAACTTCTGCTGGAGTGATTGACCTTTGATTCCTGAATGGAGACGTGGGTGGAGGTAGGGGGCTGGGAAGTTCTTGCCTTTGAAACTACACCCCCTTCTGGGCCCTGGAAGAGAATACATTCCCTCATTGCTTTTCCTAGAAAACTGAAACTTTAAGAAGAGAAATTTCAGACTTCTGCCACACTTTCAGCACCTGTACATATACCCTATTTTCCTTTCAGTATTTGGCTTCTTCCACTGTGCTCTGGATCCTATCTGCGCTCATGTTCTCAAGGGTACGCCTCTAGCAATTTTGCATTTTCTCTTCTAATTGCAATTATAGAAAACAATACTCTTAGATCTTCCTAAGCAGCTAATTTACATAATGCTATTTCTCCATGTTTAGGAAAATACTAAAATTTTGCTAGAGGTAGCCACTACCCCATTTCACTACTTGGCTATTCATGATCAACTTCCTGACTCCAGTTTTCTTCTCGTTGCCTCTTAAACACAATATAGTCAGGCTTTCAAACTCACCTCTGAACTAAAACTGCTCTACTCTGGGGAACCAACAGTATCTACATTGATAAATCATGCTGTCAGCTCTTCATAAGTATCTTCTATCACACATTAAGCATGTGTAGCATATTTACTGCAACTGATAGTCATTCTTAAAATAGCGATTGTAATGTTATATTAAATTATTTTTCATCTATGTCACTTCTCTTGCTCTGGTTCTATTTTTCTCAAATCTTATGTTAGTTTCTAGTCCCCTTCTTTTTTCTATTTGTGAACATTCTCTTGGTGATCTCATTTAGTTCCATGAATTTAAATATGATTGAAAATTGATTAATTTACACATTTATATCCCTAACTCCCTAACTTCTATATCAAATACGCATCTAATACTCATGAATCTACTAGTTAACTCTTAACTTTTTTCTTCCAAGCCTGCCCTATCCTATCCTTCCCTAGCCTAGCCTTCCCATTCTTTGCTGATGATAACGCCAACTTTCCTATTTATTGGTTAGAAAAATCATAGTCCTTCCTGATGCTACTGTCACCCACCACATCCACCAGGAAATCTTGTTATCATCTAGATTTCATATTTCAATGATTTCTCTCTGTCTCTTAACTTCTTAGTCTCTTAACCTTGGTCTAAGTCATTGTCCTGTCAAGTCTGGATTGCTGCATTAACTAGGGGTTCTGCTCTTGCCTCTGTAGTCTGTTTTTAAGATTGATGCTGCAGCAACCCTATACAATGTGATGCAAATCTGGTCTCCTCTCTAATCACAACCAGGCAATGACTCTCCATTTCTCTCAGAGTGAAAACCGACACCTCAACATGAGTGCCATGCAAGGTCTAACCATGCTGTGGACTGAACTGTGCCCTCCTCCCCACAAATGCATGTTGAGGCCCAAATCCCAATGTGATGGTATTTGGAGAAGGTGCCTTTGGTAGATAATTAGGTTTGGATGAAATCATGAGGATATGGCCCTCATGATGGGATTAGTGCCCTTATAGGAAAAATCACCAGAGAGCTTGCTCTGTCACTTTTCTGCCATGTGGAGATACAATGAGACGGTGGCTGACTGTAATTCAGGAAGACGGCCCTCAACAGAACTGGACCATACTGCCACCCTGATCTCAGACTCCCATCCTCCAGACCTCTGAGAATATATATTTCTGTTGTTAAATGCACCTAGTGTGTTGTGTTTTATTATGGCAGCAAAAGCAGACTGATACTGACTTTAATTAACTTTTGGAAATATCCTTCTATTATCTTCTTTACTCCAATCTCAGCCTTTTTTTTAACTTCATAAAACCACCAGGCAAAACTCCGCCCTAGGATCTACTTCTAACTCTTCACTCTGCCTGGAATAACCTTTTGGAAGACATCCACTAGCCAAAAGATTCTACCTCATTCAAGTTATGGTTAAAATTACACTTTGTCAGCCAAGCCCTATTTTATACAGCACCAGCCGTTCACATCTACACCTCTTCTCAAGATTCTTAGACTTCTCACTCTGCTCTAATTTTTTTTTTTCTCATATAACATACATCTTCTAATCCTAAGCTTGATACTGTGGTGATCCTAACATCTACAGATGAAGCTTTAAGATATTTTATACTATCTAGGTTAGTTTTTGCTTGATAACTCAGAATATTCATTTCTTATGCCAATTATTAGGGAACAGATTTCATAACCATTTTCCTCCTAAAATGTGTGTAATAAACATTTATTTGTAATCTTCACTATTAACATTAAAACCTTTGTATGTAAGTGCCTTACTATTTTTAAACTTTCATTTTGTTAATACAAAGCCATAACCTCATTAGATTATTTCTTTTGGAATACTAAATTTGCATTTTCCTAAAGTGCCTTATTTAGCATAGAATATTTATTTTAAAGATCTAGAGTTCTTATTATGAAATCTTTTGCAATATAATATAATCCAAAGTATTTGGTAAATATATGATCAAAACAAAAACATGTCTATCCTCAATCTTATATTATCATGGTTATATCTCACATATCCTGTGGCTACAAATCCAGGATACAAACACTATTTTTGAGTTACAGACACCATAATTATCTTTTGACCATTTTCTTTTACAAAAGTTTCTTTTATGTCATAAGGCTTGTATTGAAACTTTCTCAAAGTCACTGTGCAAACCATTCCTATTCTACTCACAATGTCCTTTCCAATTTATACATTTTGACCTTTAATTTTCATTCTTTATGTTAAGATGTTTCTCTAAAACTTCCATTGGTGGCATTTTTAAAAGCTTTTTCTTTGTTCTTGTGAATTGTGAATTTCTCTTTAATAAGTCAATATATGTTAAACAACTTTAAAGTAGATGTATGTTTTTAATATTCATTGCTCATTTTTTGGCTTATACATAATATAACTTTATTCTGTTTAATCTGTTTAATCTTTATTCTGTTTAATCACCACTTTTAAAAATTCTGGACTGTAATAAAAATTATAAACTTTTTGTTATAGTTTACTCCCTTCTTTTTATTATTTTGTACAGATTTCTTTTAGTTGTTTTTTTTTTAAAAAAAACTTACTGTCGCTCCATTATCAGAATGAATCTGAAAGGTTTTAGTCACAAGTTTATTCTTCTGTGGACTCAAGTCCCTGCCTGAGAGTGAATTAGGCACTTAGAGAAGAACATTAGCACCTACAATGCATGAGTAATGCTCAAAACAGAACCCAAGTGCCTAAAAAATATTATGCACCTGATGCCAAAAATACTTATGGGCCTGAATAAGGTACCAGAGGAAAGGAATAACAGAATGAGTTAGAAAGGATCCTGGGAGATTGCATCAGTTTATTCTCACACTGCTATAAGGACATACCCAAGACTGGATAATTTATGAATAAAAGAGTTTTAATTGACTCACAGTTCCCCAGGGGTGGGGAGGCCTCGGGAAACCTCCAATCATTGCAGAAGGGGAAGCAAACTTGTCCTTCACATGGTGGCAGCAAGAGGAAGTGCAGAGCAAAGTGCAGGGATAACCCTTTATGACACTATCAGATCTCATGAGAACTCACTATCCCAGGAACAGCATGGAAGTAACCACCCCATTATTCAATTAGCTCCCACTTGGTCCCTCCATGACATATGGGGATCATGGGAACTATAGTTAAAGGTAAGATTTGGGTGGGTCCACAGCCAAACCATATCAGAGATCATCTGCTCTAGTTTTTTGCCTTCAGGCAGACACATGTTGAAACTATCCAGGACAGATTTTATTCTAATATTGTTCTGGAGATCCAGTGTTCCTTTTTTCTTCTCTTTGAACTTAGTTGCACAATACTATGTACCTGGTGCTTACTGACACTTTCTAAATAGAATGCTTACCTTGGATCATTTGTTTTCTGCTTGTAAATATTCACATGACCGAGGGTAATACTGACCTCCATTTTATTTGAACTAACGTTAGTATTCTACTGCTTTAAATATAGATATTGAAGAAAAACTAGGGTAGGTAACCTAAAAGTATAAATAAATATTTTATTAGAAATCAGAAGTGATTCAATATGATTCTGTTACCAGAGTCTTGCCACTTTGAACACAGCATTTTCTTTCCTTGTAAGGCGTTAAAAGTAATATTTACATTGACTACATCACTGGATTGTTGTAAGAATTAAATAAACAAATGCATGTGACAGTGCCAAGAAATCTACAGGGTGCTGTTTAATTATAAGGCCTTTAATCACTACCTCTTCTATGCCACTCACAGATTTTTGTTTACATAGCTATTAGAGCACTCGGGACATCCTTTCTTAGGATTAAATGTCTCTCTTCAATTTATCAACACCAAGGTTGTAAACTGTTAGAAAACAGGGCTCCGCTTTATTATTATATTGCCTGATTGTTAAGAATTCCATGCTGTAGATATACTAGCCAATGCATAAGAAGGCAATTAATCAGTAAATGAAATATGTAAATTTTACGTGATGATTTGCAAAATTAATATGAGTAACTACCCTATGTTAGAAACAGAAAACAAATGTATAGTAAAAATAGTCTGAGTTGTAAATTGCCAGATTTCAATGGTAAAAAGTTGCATAATATACTTAATTGTTTTAATTTCTAGCTCCCACAGATAAGTGAGAATTTGTGAAGACTGTCTCTCTGTGCTTGGCTTATTTCACTTAACGTAACATCCTCCAGTTCCATCCATTTTGTTGTAAATGACAGGATCTCATTTTTGGTTTTGCTATTGAATAATTTTCTATTGAACACATGGAGATAAAGAGTAGAATGATGGTTACCAGAGGCTGGGAAGGGGAGTTGGGAAAAAGGGGAAAAATGGGGATGGTTAATTGGTAGAAAAATATCATTAGATAGAATGAATAAGATCTAATATATGACAGCGTAGAAGGGTGACTATAACCAACAATAAATTATTTTGTATATTTAAAAATAACTAAAAGAATGGAATGTTCATAACATAAAGAAATGATAAATGCTTGAGGTGACAGATACCCATTTACCCCAACATGATTATTATACATTGTATGTCTGTATCTCATAAATATATATATCTACTATGTATTCATAAACATTCACAATTTTTTAAAAAGCATATATAATGTAAATTTCTACCACAAATGTATTGACAACACACATTTTGAAGAGAATATTAATGCTTTAAACCTATTGGAAAGAAATAACTCATTTCAAAAATTAAAGGTCTAATATTATCATTTCTAACTATGTCTGCTCCCAGTACCAAAGTACACAGGATGCCTGTGTAAGTACTAGTTCTGTCATATTGTCATTTCAAGTATGATCTTAGGAAATTGTGACATTTACGGTTCATAAAGGACAGAGATGTCTACTACTTAATTCTAAATATTATGAAGTATTGCCCTGCTTTGTAACTATCTCATTTCATGTTTCAAGCCTGCTATGGTTTGGGTCTGTGTCCCTACACAAATCTCATGTCAAATTGTAATCCCCAATGTTGGAAGTGGGGCTTGGTGGGAGGTGATTAGATCATGGGAGAAGATTTCCCTTCTGGAGCTGTCTGGTGTTAGTGTGTGAGGTATCATGAATTCTGGTTGTTTAAAAGTGTGTGGCACCTCTCCCTTCTCTCTCTTGCCTCTGCTCCAGTCATGTAAGACATTCCTGCTTCCACATTGCCCTCTGCCATTATTGTAAGTTTCCTGAGGCCTACCTAGCCTGCAGAACCAGCCAATTAAACCTCTTTCCTTTATAAATTACCCAGGCTCAGGTAGTTCTTTATAGCAGTGTGAGAATGAATTAATATGAAAACTTTAGCCAAACCTGCTCAAATTTGTGGTAATTCAGGAAATTAGAGGTAGATAATTCAACAAATGCAATAATTTAGAGTCTAGTACAACTAATAGAAATATAAAAACATCATTATCTAGGCATGGTGGTGGGCACCTGTAATCCCAGCTACTCGAGAGACTGAGGCGGGAGAATTGCTTGAACTTGGGAGACGGAGGTCGCAGTGAGCTGAGATCGCCCCACCACACTCCAGCCTGGACGACAGAATGATACTCCATCTCAAAAAACAAAAAAACCCCACAAATATAAAAACATCAAAGACAACCTAAAATATTTGAATAAGTCCTTAGTTATCACCATATTTGGGAAACATATTAAGTCAATATTACTTTAACATTAAGAAAAGAAAAGGGCTACCTTGAGAAAGCTTGAGGAATGGAGATATGAAGATGCTGACAAAATTGTGGTATAGTTCAGGGAAAAAGAAAAACTTTTAACAAATATAGAGCATAGTCTATTTACAAAATAGTGAGACTTTTCACCTGAAGTTAACTTTTTAGAGTTTTGTTGAAATCATTGAGATTACAAAATATTTGAATCAGAATAATTTGCCTCTCATTTACTGGGTCTACATTAGCATTCTGAAAGAGGATATCACAATTAATGATGCCATTGTAACTGGAAAGAAGAAAAATATACTACCAAAAATATCTTTCATAACTATCCATTTGTAATTTAACATGTGGTTTATGCCACCCCATCAAAAGGTCAAAATAGAACAAAAATAAAAATGCCAAAGAGGCTTTTTATTCTTATCACACACTTTTCTGATTCTCTTGAAGTTCTGGGACTGGTAATCCTAATTGGCTAAAATAGTGCTAATGTTGGGCTGGGCGCAGTGGCTCACCCTTGTAATCCCAGCACTTTGGGAGGCTAAGTTGGGTGGATTGGCTAAGGTCAGGGGTTCAAGACTAGCCTGGCCAACATGGTGAACCCCCATCTATACTAGAAATACAAAAATTAGCTGGGCATGGTGGCACATGCCTGTAATCCTAGTTACTCAGGAGGCTGAGGCAGGAGAATTGCTTGAACCCAGGAGGCAGAGGCTGCAGTGAGTCAAGATGGCACCACTGTCCAGCCTGGGCAACAGAGCGAGATGCTGTCTCAAAAAAAAAAAAATGCTAATGTTGAAGACAAGGAAATGAATAAGAAGGAAAAAATGGTTCACTTATGTAGGGATGACTGGTTTACTCTTTGATCATTCACACCTTTTAATCACCATGCTATATCAGGGGGCATAAAGTCAACAAACTTTATGCAATTTTCTTCTATTTTAGGTTTTTCAAAATGGTGAATGTTATGGCATTTTAAAAACACAGTGATATTTTCATGTTAAATAGTTGCAGAGATTTATAATATTGCTTTTTGATGAAAATTAAGAAGTTTGTATGTGCATCAGGAATGGGTTTTGTATGTGCATTAGGAAAAAAATTTCTGATTCTTCACT